GTGCAGAACTACAATTATCTACCAGCAAAATGGCCAAAACATATTCTGCCTTGGAGCTAATAATGGATGAGAGTGAGTGGAATGCATTAGAAGAACATGGTGAAGTGGAACAAGAAGACATTTCTGAAGATGATGATAATGTCATCAGTCTACAAAAGGAATGGAAGCTAAGCAGTTTGATTCCATTTCATGTTTTTAAAGCTAGGATAGACGCTATACAATCAGAAAATATTGGTGTCTGTAAATGCTACTAGTATACAAACTGTAGTATCATATAATGTCCTTTGTTTTCTGTCATGTTTGTATTAATGTTTGGAACTAATTGAAGCAGGTCACCATTGTAAAAGAGGTCTATGATCTCAATGGGTTTTATCTGTATAAATAAAGGTTTTGAATTGAATTGAATTGAATGTGGAGGTATACTCAGAATTTGACAGCGAATTGGAAGATGAACTTGACTCAGAGCCAGCTGCTGGAAGACTCCCACAGCCAGCCGCTGAAGGACCCCCACAGCCACATTAAAAATAATAAACATGAATGAAAAAATGTTTCATTTACATTTGTGCTAGAAAAGCATGAGCAAAATGTAAACCTAGTTTTTATTAGTGTATTTTTTTTTAACATAAAATTACATTTTTATCACAAAAAACGATGGACACTTCCATTGTTAAATTTGATCTAGCAAAGAGTATTTTCAAAAACTAATCATATATTTCATTTATATTGTTGGGGAATTAGTTAAAGACAATATATATATAAGGAATTGTGCATGTTGAATTTAGTTCTGTATTTTTTTAAAACCCTGAAATATGTCCCGGGTCAATTTGACCCGAACATTACCAAAGGGTGCGAAATGTGAACAGAACACAAGGGAATATCGATAGGTTTAAACTAGTTGTTAGTTCAGTGTTTGGCCGCTGAGTGTCGCTGTTGCTCCCTTCACTGTTCAGCTCAACATTGTCAACAATGGTCTCGGGGGTTCATTCATTCAGAAAACATAAAGCAATATTACATTCTCTAAACTAATTTGATGAATAAATCATAACTAGTTTGTGTCTTGGAACATAGTTAGCTTCTTATTGGTACATTAATATATATAACACCCTAACATTTGCACGTTTTACTTTTTGTATCAGACTGATCATCCTTGTGCTCAATATGGCAATGATATGTTTCATATAGCTAGATCATGCCAAACAGAGAAAAATATAAACCTTTCCTTTTCGATATTTTTTTCTGCCGGTAGAAGAGTCTCCACAAGCTTGTCTGGACCAGAAATGCTCTGCATAAATACTGTAATTCATTCAGTTTAAAAATCACCAATAATATGTCTGACTACACTGACAGGTTATGTTCAGCCAGGTTGGTGATTGACACAGCATTGTGGGACCGGTTTACCTTTGACACAGTGGTAATCGTACTTCTAGTGGAGCACTAGAAGAAAAAAAAAGCAACATAAAGTAGAATTATTATTATAATTATAGTAAACCTCAATTGAGTTGCCCAAACTTGTGTGAACCATTGTCCCTTCTACTAAAAATAATACCATATCATTATCACATTAAACTGCAATCTCAGTTTTTTATTTAATAGTCCATAAATTAATAAGTTGGTCCCTGTTGATATGTCTTTATAAAACAAAACCTGTGTCCGGAGAGATTGAGTTTTCAGTGTTCAGCATGTTGATGGGTGAGTTTCTAAGTGATCCTGTGAAAAGAAAAGAGTGACTTTATAAGAAAACCTCGCCCCATTTTGAGTCAGTATTCACAATCATTTGTCCTGATGAGAAACCTTAACTTTCAAATAGACTTACTACTCACCCATCCCTAGTTTGTATAACAGGTTGTACAGAGTATTATTAGTATAGTAAGTTGAAGTCATTGTTTCAATGTTTTTGGTTAATTTAAGTTATCCAGTTTATTATAGTTTGGTTTAGTTTAAGCTAGTTTAGTTTGGTTTAGTTTAGTTCAGTTAAGCTTAGTTTAGTTTAGACGTTTTTAACTTATTCAACTCAATAACAAAAATCTAATTTATTAAATCAGTGACACGTCTTTTATTTTCAAGTATTGACAAACCAAAACAAATGTACACTGACCTGAAAAGGTTTAGAAGCCTTAGCTTATTTCACCAACATAACTTTTTTGTGTAAAATGATCATTAAATGTATCATATGTTTTGTCAAATTGAGTAATTAAAACAAAAATAAATTTAAAATATATAATTTGTATTTTAAATACCTCAGAAGTCCCGAACCAAAATGAATTACACATTGTTCAGTTTTATAATTGTTATCTTGTATTTTATTATATATATTTGACTTTGACTTGATTTGAAATGTATTGCAATGAATGAAACACAGCTACAGTTGCCAACCATATTACCATATTGTGAAACAACACATTCTCTACATAAGACACCTTGAATGGAATCTAGTTATGTCTCATTACAAATAACCACACAGTGCAGCTCTAGGAGAACATATCACTGAAAGGTGGATTTACAAGCTTCGGTGACTCTTTTGCTAAACAATTTCCCCTGCTATTTCAAAAAATACCGCATTGCATGTCCACATTCATGATCACTGACTTAGTTCATTCATGTGAAGCAGCTGAGCTCAGCCTTTAACTTCCTGAGGAATCTTTTCTGTTACATTTTTCACAATTAGCTGATTGATTATGAGCTGGTATGTTTCAAGGCCGCTGTCTATCCTCTGGCTGTGCAATTAGACAGAGAACTATGCTACGGATGTTATGCTGTTTTGTTGTTTGTTAGTTTCTGATTAATTCTATTTGGCCAAACCTTGTCTTACATATTAAGCCAATGTGAAACAGTCACAAGACCTACAAGAACAGGGAGTTTGTTGTAGTGTGTAGTGTGATGGCGGTTATGAAAAACAGCTGACCAAGTGGTAAGAGACAACAACTCCTATTCTCCCATTCAATCTTGGTGAAAAACATATGAGAGTGCAAAACATGGAAACTTTTCTGTCGTGCTTTGCTTTCCATTCATCTTTAACATGGACAAAGGGGGCTATATTTTAAGAGTTCAGTTAAAAACATCGACAAAATGCAATAGCCCTTATTTAAACCAACACATTTTGATATTACCTGAGCTGCACACAAACAAAAGAAAATGATTTATCAAAAGTAAGAAACAAGTTTTCTGCATGAATCCTTCACTTGATGTGACTGTATTAACTTGTTTAAAAGGAAATGTGTCTTTAGGTTGACTTACAGAATCTGTCTAGGGTCTACAGATGAAAAATAGCCTCTTGGCCAACTCTGGCACATTTACAGAAATGATGATTAATGTGCACTGTCCCTGTTAAATAAAGACATTAGTTAATTAATTAACTTGAATACAACAATGCTTTATCATATTGACAAACAATTCCCAATCCTTGACTGCAGGCAGCTCTGCAAGAAATTATATAGTGCAGCTTCTCCTTTGCAGAAACCCTTGTTGTAAACAGTATACATCGCCCTCTTCAGAGATCAATGAGTGAAACTGAACAGGTGAATATGTTAACAAAAGTTTCTCTCCCATTTGAAATTTTGCTGACCTGAGGCAATTGAGACTGAGTGCTACACCTTCAAGCGGCCATTCAGTAGCCACTGGTCAAGCCTTCTCTGAAAAAAATAATACCAAGAAATGTTGTCTACCTGACAAACGAACAAACATTGAACTTAACATCTTAAAACTGTAGTGAAATTCTTGGAGCAAAGAACTAGAAGAGTATACTGGAGAGCTCCGAATGGATGTCAGATACTGAAGATGTATTGGAAGGAGAATTTACATTACAATTTTCTGAGAGTAGTGACACATCCTCCTTCCCAACTGTGAAGTCCTCGTCCCCTTGTGCCTGCCACTTAACCATTCCTAAGAGCAGAATTCACATTAAACTACAAGACGCTGCAAATCCTGTCCCTGTCAGGGTCAAACTGTCCTCAGGGAGGTTCTACCTGATAAGATGGACTCCCAGATGTCTCTCCGGCTCTTCTCCGTCAACTTTGTTCTGTTATTGTCAGAAGAAGAGATTGTTTTGTATTCATATATAAGACACAGCTACAGCTGAAGCCTTTATTTGATCAATCACACAGAGAGAATGCTGAAGCCCAAGGCTGTTTTCCTGCCTATGAAAGAGGAGTGAGAGAAGAGGTAAAAGCTAATAACTAAACGACCTCTGAACAATCAAATCAAAAACCACATCAGCATGTCATATTTGTGTATAAATCAAACATTTATTGATTTAATGTCTGTGGTCTTCATGCATGTACTTAATTGAAGAGCCACCATGTGTTAAACTGTCATTCAATATGTAAACAGTCAGTGATGACTCTTTCCCCGCCCTCCCTTCTGTCCCTCTTCCTCTCGTGTAGAGATTCTTTTCATTCCAGTCTGCCTTTTATCTATCGTACGACTTGGGGAGTACATTTCCAACTTTACGCAGGCCTCACGCCCATGCCTGATGAAACAGGTTAAACCAGAAACTCTGGCGGGCTCGTCATAGCGGCAAGGATTGGACGGGTACCCAACCTCTGTGACAGGGATGGGCAACTTTAAAAGTGACGTTAGGTTAGTTAACATAGGAAATCTCACCTTTAGCCTAAATCCTGTTTGAGGGACATGAATGAAGTTGAAATATAAAAACCTTCCTTATTTCCTTTTAAACTATTCAGATAATTCACAAAAAAGAACCTGTGACCTCGTAGGTTAATAATTGTGCAACCTTTATCAAAATGTTGTTGTTTTAGCCTAGTTTGCTAATTAACTGAAGCATCTTAATTTTGATACTGTTTATTTTTAAACTGTAACTTTGTTTGTCAATAAGTGTATCATATTTTGCCCCAGAGTGTGGATTTCTTTAACCAAGGCATGTAACTCCATGACCCCATCCCCTTTACCACCATTGATGAGGCAGGACCAATCGCAGAGAGGCTAAGTGAGGATATGAAGGTGGGGCTAAGCACTGAAACAGGGTGTGGTCCTGAAACTAGCAAGATTTGTAGTAGTGCCCCGGGGTTTAAATGGACTGCCTGCCTGACTGACATTCCCATAGTTATCTTAGTTTGCTCTGTCTCTTGCTTCTTTTCCATTTCTTACCTGTGAAGCCTGTTTTGGATTTCCAACATTTGAGGACATCTGGAGGCTTCCACCCACAGGATATCTCTGCATGTGTCTGGTTTCCACCTGATCACCTCTCACTGCTGCTGCTGATCTGTTTGATTCTCTGGATTGAGTGCTGCCTGCTGTGGCTGTGCAGCTGCTTTCCTCACACACAGGACTGAGGACTCAGCCGGTGAGTCACAACTGCAAGTACTTTAGATTTTTCAGAAATGTGAGATTTGTACCTGTGCTTCTCCTGTGGAAGTGTTAATTGTTTGTTTTAAACTTTTCATGGTTTAAAATGGCAGACACATCTCCCATTTAACAGTTCAGTATAGTTTATCTGGATTAGGACAGCAAAATGTTGATACTGTTGCTTTAAATAGAGTAAACTGTGTAGTTTCCCTCTGGAAATCCCTGATCAGCTTGTATCTTGGGAGTTTAGGAGGTTGGCTACGCTGGCTATAAGGGCCAAGTTCGTTGCCTCACCTGTTTGACTTGCTCTGTTAGTCAGCAAGAGAGTATTTCATTGTCTTCACATTGACTGAAGGGCTCAGATGTTTCACAATCCTTATTTTAACGGTTGTTTTTTTTTGAGTCATTGTTTTCTTTTTCAGTTGCTGAATTAAATAAATAAAGCTTTTCACTTTTTTTAATCGAGGCACACATGGTGCTAAAACAGTAAGGATATGTAGTTTAAACGCTACATTTTTGATTAGGCAGTGAAATTAGCTCCTACAGATTTGTCATTATTATTTTTTTAAACACAAGGGCACTCAGGGGAGTTTGAGCTTGTGCAGCTGTCTCCTGTTTGTTCAGTCTGTGAGGAAGCAGGTGGACAGGTTGCTTTGTCACTTACCTGCCCAACCAAACTCACTCAGCTCGGCTTCATCTCCTGGTTCCTGACTGTTTGTCTTTTCTTTTCTTTCAGTTGTGATTATAGGACAAGAAACAAGGAGTCATCATGTCGCAAACGGCAGTATCGATCATTTCAAAATTCTACAGTTTTGTAGAATTGAGGACTGGTAAGTGTCTTTGTCACTTTAACAGTTTTTACCCCACTGCTTTGTTAAGATATGAATGAATGACTGCTGATCTAATGGAATAATGATACAATGTATGGTTTGTAAAGGGTAGTTTCCTAAACTACTTCATGAATCTGACAAAACTGTATATAAACTGCATTTAGTTTTAACCAGATATCTGTGTGTGTATCCATTACTGACATGCCTTTTTTAAGATGAGAAATGTGTATTTTTGTGCTCCCCAGATGAACGAATCAAAAGTTATCCCCTCATGCAGAGACCTATAGGGATGAACCTCATCCTGTTGACCTATGTAATCTTCTCAAAGTACATTGGACCTCGCCTGATGGCAAACAGGAAGCCCTTTCATCTCAACACAGCCATGATTGTCTACAACCTCAGCATGGTTTTACTAAATGCCTTCATTGTCTATGAGGTAAACTAAAAGATTAAGCCATTTGCTGACTAAAATTCCCATTTATTCCCAAACCTGAGATGATAATAAGTTGTTGTTTTATTTACATCTAGTTCCTGATGGCCGGATGGGCAACCACCTACACGTGGAAATGTGACCTCGTTGACACCTCAACCACCCCTCAGGCTTATCGGGTAAGCCAGTCCACTGTTTTTCATTTGCCTCGGAGCAAAGAAGCTCTTAGGCCTACTACTAAAATGATTCTGACTATTAAAAGTGTGTATGGAAAGCTATTACTGGCAGAAATTAGGGAAAACGAATTGTGTTTTGCATTTCAATAATACAGTTTAAATGTCGAATCCTAGAGCTTTTGAGATTAACCAATATTTATTTGGAAAATTTTACTTTTATTTTCAAAGTACAAAATAAAGATTTTCCTTTCCTTTGGCCTGGCCATAATGCTCTTTCGTGGTTTGTAACTGTTCTGAAGGCAGAAAAACAAAGATTATTGTCTGGTTAAGATGGATATATGAATCTTTGACATTCATTTTCTTATTTTTCTTTCCCCAGATGATTCGAGTGTGTTACATGTTTTATATGTCCAAATATTTCGAACTCCTTGACACAGTAAGGACATTCTCATCTCAAACATTTTCCTTATTTGATTATCTGACCTTCTAGAGACATGGCTTTTGTGCGTGTAAACTTATGCTTATCCTACTTTCTTTTCTTTTTTTAGGTATTCTTTGTGCTGAGGAAGAAACAAAGCCAGATCACATTTCTGCACGTTTTCCATCACTCCTTCATGCCCTGGACGTGGTGGTGGGGCATCACCCTGACTCCTGGTAAGGTTTACTCTGCATCACATCAAAGTAATCCATTTCACACACATAATATGCATAAACAAACTATTTTAGCTCTAGAAATGGCTTAAAACGTCCTTAAATTATATATTGCGAGTGTGCTACTATGAATCCAAAAGAATGAAAATTCAACGCCCAAACAATATTTGAAGAGATCCCTGTACAGTTGTTTTAAAATGTTTTATCAATTAATTTCCTGTTTTCCCCCTTTCAAGCTGGAGGAATGGGCTGCTTCCATGCCATGGTGAATGCAGTTGTCCACGTTATCATGTACTTCTACTACCTACTCTCTGCTTCAGGACCTCGCTTCCAGAAATACCTTTGGTGGAAAAAATACATGACCGCCATCCAGCTTGTATGTCCTATAATATTACTGGCATATATTATGATTTTAAATTGGATCGAGCGTAGAATAAGATTTTCAATAACAATTTCTCCTTTCTCTGTTTTTTGTACAGATACAGTTTGTCATCGTCTCAGCTCACATCAGCCAGTACTACTTCATGGAAAAGTGTGACTACCAGATTCCCATGTATATCCACCTGATTTGGATGTATGGCACCTTCTTCTTCCTCCTCTTCTCTAATTTCTGGATTCAGGCCTACATTAAGGGAAAGCGGCTTCCTTCTGTGGAGGAAATGCCAAAACAGAACGGCTCAGCCAGTAAACCTATCGCTGTGTTGGCCAACGGGAAACACATGGAGAATGGAAATGGGCACCACCACACCAACGGCAATTTCGTCATGAGCAAACTCGTCATGGGCAAAGTAAAGGAAATCTAACTTTGTGACTTTGGAAATCAGGAGGAGACATACAAGAAGTTGATATAGAGCTACCTTGAAAGTGTCATCCAGCATTCAGACCTAGTAGCATATTGGATTGGCACAATTTCAATATGTTACTTCTAAACTTTACATGTTCTATATACATTTAGTCTTATGCACACTTGTTTTTGATGGGTGTTTTGGTGAAGATCTCTTCTTGCCACATTGTGTTTGTTAGTTGTTGTGAAAACGATTAACTGTGATGAACACTGTATGAAGATTGGTGCTCACTTTGTCACTGATGGTATCTTCAACTCAGGCTTGGTCCGCACCAGCCTGACCTACTGTCTAGCGGGCAGGACTATTGTTTATCACACAGTTTCCACTAAAGACCAGCAAATTTAAATACCTGCTACAAAACAAAGCTGTTGTTGTAAATGTCAAATATTCAGTTTTGTTGTTTTTATTTATCTTTTTGAAATAAATCTTTTTAGATAAAGGTCTGTGTCATTTGGAAAGCAGTTGGGGTGTGCACTTTTCAAAAAGACATACCACACCTCAATTTTATTTTTTCAATTTTTGGAATTGTGGAAAATAAATGTTATACTGTATATTACAGTATTAATGCATTTAGGTAGTGACATATAAACTGTTTTCCATTTTGAGTTTTGGAACCCGGCATGGTCTGTTTCTCAGCACACTGCAGGGGCTCGCAGGAAGTTAATACACTTCCTATCAAATTCAAATCAGAAAAAAGAGCACTGTTTCTGAATATCCCTGCAGAATGAATGTTGTTTTGTAAACCTACCAGTGTTTTTACTGTTTTATATTACACATGTGCACTGATGACAGATGAAGTCGTTTTGAAGTACTGCCAGCCTTTTAAAATTTCATTTGATATTTGGCATAAATACTTCAGATTGGATGTCAAAGTGTATCCTTGAGCTGTTTGTTACAATGAACCTTCAATGTTTAGTAGATTTACCTGTTTCTGACTTAAGCAGAAATAAAGATGTTTTGTAATTATGTTGTTACTTGTTAGACGCTTTTATCCAAAGCGACTTACATACTCAATACTGTTGACAATCCCCGCAATTTGGGGTGAAGTGTCTTGCCCAGGGACACAACGACATGCTGACTGCAGTGGGGTTTGAACCTGTGCTCCCCCTGATACCAACGCCTATTCCACTGCGCCACACGTCTCCTAGAGAATTCTTGTTCAACTTTTTTACCCAAGTGAATAATTTATATTTTAATAATTGTCTACACCAGGTGAATCCTTAGATTCTTAGAGTGAAAGAGGACAAAGCATCAATACAAGAAAACGGGTTAATGTATATAAAAACCAAAATAGTTTGTGGATCTTCACTAAAGAACTCAAAACATTAATGTAATGCAGTGGCGCAGGTTGGTTCGAGATGAACTGCAGATAATCTGATCGTTATCTGTGCCCTTGGAATCAAATGCTTCACATTCCAACATTGTTGCATATTAGCAAGTCATGCTATTCAAACCAGTACTGGGGTTGATTAAAAAAAAACTGTCAATTAACAATGACGAGAGAAAAGGTCACAGCATTAGTTATCAATTCCTGTAAATCCTAAATATTGACGTATATCTTTAGATTACTCAGCTACATGGTAATAGTTTACAACAAATCCAGTCAGACAATACATTAGTTTTGGTTGAGACTTACATTAAACTACTTTATCAGATGCTGGGCTTGAGAGTAATGAACTCATGTTAATCAGTTACCATGCATCATTGAAATAGGGACACTGCAGCAGGTGTTGGTTAAATATCAGATACGGTGACCTCAACAGGACTTTTAGTGAATTCTATAGAAAACACAGCAAGCGGGTTTGGAAATATGCAGGGTGATGTATATAACAGTTCCTGAGGACACGGATTTAAGTGATCAGATATTGACGTAGACAATAGAAGTTGAAACCAAACCAGAGGCAAGCTGCATTTTGGGCAAGAACAAAAAAGATAAAATGTGGGTTGGTAGATGTTACGACATGGCACACATTTAAAAAAGGCTATCACCATTATGTGAATTATTAGCACATGCCAGTTAACTGACAGAAGCAAAACATTGGGTAATCAAACAATTTATTTAAAACCAAGTCAAATACATCCAGATTATAAACAAAAGCCAAGGTCATATATACACTTTCTGATTCAAAACTTGTACTTTACCACATGATTAATCCTGTATAAACACTTGGGACCAATTCCAACACTGCAGGAACTTGTCAGTTACAGCTAAAACACTGGGTAGATATCTTTATTATGGATGAAATAAAACATTTGCACATAACTCAACCGGCATGGACAGAAAATCCTTTCATAAGACAAAGCACATCATCTGATAGACTGGTGAATGACACCGCTAGTTGATTTGGCCAGCCTCTCTTTGGCCTTCTTCTTAATAGGATCCAGTTCAAAGCTCTTCCACATACGGATGGTCTCGTCTCCAGCAACAGTCGCAACGGTGGAGAAGTCTGGGCTCAGAATCAAACTGAGAACTCTATCCTCGTGGCCTGTAATTAAAAAATAACACATTCAGACCAACAGGAAGCAAACAATGTGGATAGTTTCTTCTATTTTTCTTTTTGTTCCTTTACTCCCCCATGTCTTGTCTTTTTACCGACTTACCATTGAGTTCTGCAACCCTTGTTAGAGAGGGGTACTTCCAGATAACGACATTGTTGTGGGCATATCCATGGGCGGAGACCAGCTCCTTGTAGTTTGGTGCGAACACCAGGGATGAAATCTGAAATGCAAAGTTATTGTTTACGATGAGAAAAGGGACAACCCCCATGTTGTTATGTTGAAGTTAAATACATTTTCAAATGTAATCCTTTTTGACTGAAATAAGCATTGAGGTTCTAGCTGTGGTATGTACCTGGGACTGAGTGTCAAGCGAACTGATGCAGAAGCCACTGTTTACATTCCAGATGCGAATGTGACGGTCACTGGTTCCACCTCCAGATGCCAGGATGTTTGGCTGCCACGGACACCAGGCCAAAGCCTAGAATGTCAACACATCCAAAAGTTAGTTTTTCAAGCTTTTACAGTCTATGGAATAAATTGTGGCTGGTATTACTGCAGTTCTGGAGAACTGCGGTAGCCTTTGTGTCAAATACAAATGCTAAAGGCTTCATGTAGAGCTAGAGTTTGTCTGTTCTGAGCTAACGTATAAACATGGTGGTGCAACATAGCAGAATCTGACATGTTAACCGCTGCCTCTCTGGACATGAAGGGTTAATTCTGTGGTAACAAAAACATGTTTTGGTTGATCTACTGATTAAGATCGTTCTGAATATTGTATTCCATTTGTGTCAAAAGATTCCACTAAAACTATACGCTGCCCATTTGATAAAATTAGGTTACTTGACATCAACATGATGGGATGGGGGGGGGGGGGGGGGGGGGGGAAGACAACAAATTAAAAAGTTGATCTCATGGTTTGAGCATTAGCTAAAGTGCAGGGCAGTCTATTGTGTAGGGTTCTTGTGTGCACATATTTGAAAGCGTAAAGGAAAGAGTGTTTTCTTTTAAAAGGTGAAATAAAAGTGAGTGTAGAAAATGGCTAAGCAAATCACTTGGGCCATTTTGATGCTCACCTTAACAGCTCCTTGATGTTCACTCCAGGAGTGGACGGCCTGGTTGGCGGGGCCATCCTGCACACGGGGCCAAACGTACACCATGTTGTCATTGCCCCCACTGGCCAGGTATCGCCCATCAGGGGACCACTGCAGCCCACACACTTCCTGTGAGTGACCAGTGAGAGTCGCAATGTGGTGGTTTGCCACCCTCACATCATGATGGTGGATGTGTCCTGATCTTGAGCCACTAGGATAGAGAGAAACATATTTGAGTCTCTAACAAACACAACTAGAAGTTTGTCTTTTGTATGAGAAATATGGGGGAAAATGTACCTGGAGAGAACATGGTCATTCCAGCTCAGGCTCACAACTCTAGACGTGTGGCTGGCCATGCTGCGGAGATGCTTCTGGTTGTAAACATCCCATAACTAAGAAAATAAAACGTCATAATTAAAAGCAAATAAGAAAGCAGATATTTTATTGCCACATGTCCTTATTTTAAATACAATGTGCATGCCTTTTATATAATAGTGTTCCATTTTAATCATCTCTATCTTTACATTGCTGTAACTTCCCATTTGTGGGACGAATAAAGACATTTTATTGTGTACTCAAGTCGTGTGTTCCTCAGCGAACTAACCTGAGTTTGGCAGTCACTGGTTCCAATAGCGAGGTAGCTTCCCTCTTTGGTCCAGGACAGTGAGCAGATGTAGTCCTCCTCACGTTCCAGCTTCATGAGAAGAGTGATCTCTCCTTGAGAGGCATCCAACAGGTAAACACAGTTATGAAGCGCCACAGCCAAAACATTGCAACTGCTCCAGTCAAGCAAATTCAAATCTGTGGAGGAAAAAAAGACAATTAATGCTGGCTAATTGTACAGTAGCACCTTCTTGCATAAAACCTTCTTTACATCACTAATATGCAGCAGTGTTAAAGGAACAACCTCGAAGTGCCAAACTTACAGAAATCATTACGAAGCTCAGGAGCATCCAAGATTCTGTCAGGAGTTGAAGAAATGTGCCGTGTCTTTTTGACAGAGGCAGGTGTTGCACCCTGACTGTAAAGCACTTTCAAGTTGTTTTGATACCCTGTAAATAGGACACAAATAAATGGTTAATTCCCAGACACCCCTTTTATATGTATGCAATATTCTGGCGATGCAGCATGTTGACAAACACATCTTTACCTTCTGGAGCATTCAGCGGCTTCCCTCCAAGATGCAGGATCTTTGCCTCTTCAATGTTGTATCCGTTTAGTGACATCGACATGGCCTTTTGGTTTTCCTTTAGAGACACATATGATCTTAATAAATACAATCTTTATTTAACTATAGGATCACTAAAAGATAAATCAATATTTTTTAAACGTACCGATGTTGCATTTTGTTCGTTTGTGTCCACAGTTTCATTCTCCTTAGTGAGCAGAAAGCTTGCAACATCCATTTGATAGCTGTTTCTGGTAGGTATGAAGCGGTCGCCTCCCATCTTAGAGGGTGTTTGTTTTTTATTTTTGCCTACAATACAAAAAAAAAAGTGGTTAAAATCTCCAGAAACAAAACACAGAGCGTTTTTACGTTGCATGGATAGAGTTGCACAAACTACCTGGTGTTTTGTTGGGCGTTTTTGTTGTACTAAGAGACACATTGGCAGACTTGCCAGGCGACAGGCCGTTCAGCGCAGAGGCGTTAGAAGAACTGGCCTTCCTCTGCCACCTTGCCATGGGAGCGTTTGTGATGGGCATATCCAGCTTCAGGATACTGTGGATGTCGTTCTCAAACCCAAACTGCGCCATTTTATCCAGGTTTTCACACAGCCTGTCAGGGAAAATAGTAATAATAAGTTAACACAGTAATAATATTAACACGGTCCGTTAGCGTAATGGGCGACAAATGCTAACGCTTGGATCCAACTTCAGCTTCTGCAGCGGCTGGTGTGAGCCAGAAAACGTTATTAATTTAATTCGGCAAAAAATTCAAACAAGAAGTCGTTTCACAGCAGCTTAACCCGTCTAGCGTTCAAATATTATAATTATATTTCGTTTATCATAGCTAGTTGACCATGACGTGAATGATAACAGGTTAGCATTCAATTCAGCATTCAAAACAGCTTAAATATTATATTCAAAAGTAGGCTTTTACAATGAAAAGATTATGACCTCACCTCTTGAATGAAACGTTGACTTTCCTGCAGCAAACCCTGTTGTTCCTCTCTCGTTTCTTTCTAAAGTTTGAATTTCGGGACAATGACGACACACGGTTTAAATCCCTGTAAACGCTCCTGTGATTGGTTTGTTCAAGAAGCGGCCGTTACCAGCAGGCATTTTACGAATGCGTTGATGTGATTGGTGGAAGAAACTCCCTCCCCAGAAATATACCGCCACCTATCGGACAAATTATGATAACGTTTTGATTGTGTCAAACGTAGACAAGAACAGAGTTCATTAAAATTGTAAGAATCAAAATGTTCTGAATAAGGATTAAGAGAGTAAAAGTGTATACAACTATGTTTTATTTTTATATATCTTTTTCTTTTGCTATTTTATTATTATGCTGCAGAAACAATATATAGATAGATAGGTACTTAATTGATCTCAATTTGGGAAATGTTTGCGTTGCAGCGCATAAAAAAACAAGGCAATGTACATAGGAGAAATTAAGACACAAGAAATAAACAGTCCAAAATATTTCTGAAATATAAATAATAAATGTACATTGTTCTAGTGTTGGGTCAATATGGCTCTTATTTGACATTTTTCTTAAGCATCCGACCTTTCAAAGATAGGGAGACAGAAAGCCAAACGTTATTCAAATGTTTCATACAATTCTATTAAGTATATTGAGAAATGGAATATATCTTTAAATGCATGTCTGTAATATACATAGTTGTTGGTGCACATAAATGTTTACAGTTGGGTAGAGTTCAGTTTGTGTCATGTTCTGGTCATGTCTGTCCAGTGAAACAAGTGTTTGTGTCTCTGCTATTTGATAAAATACCAAGTTTCCTTATGGATATGAATTAGATTAAGTTCTTGATCGATTAGTGGAAATGTCCACCTCATGCATAATGGATAGTGTGCCAACAAATCAGTAAAGCCCCTAACGATACAACTTGTTTTTGTATCGATTCATTTAGAATACTTATAATACAAACTTTATTTCAGACACAGACCACGGTATATCATCTGATGTATGTGTGAATAAAAAACTCTTTGCTAAATCCAGGAAGCATGTTTTCTTGAAATTAAAATAAATAAGATATACAGTATTAGTTCTCAGTGGGCTCCCAATGCAAATCTGTTATCATGGGAAATTTGGTGTTCGAAATCAAGTATAAAAATAAATAAATTCAAACATTCAAGTCAATCACAGAAATTAACATTGACATCAAGATAAACATTATGTCTCTGACTAAAACTTTATCAAAAATGATCAAATCTGGCCCTCATAAGATTATATGTGCCAGAAGAGCAGAAGGATAACGGCAGGCAGTTGATACTGCTCTTTTTGATTGTTTTGCTAGTATCAAGCAAGATAACTTTGATATTAAAAACAATTGTTTCCCAGAGAATTAAAACAATAATTATGGAAATGAATGTCAATGTGGAAACTTTTCAACTATCTTGAAATCATCACACAAACACATTTTATAAAAGTGTATGACTGACTAATGATGAGGTGCAAATGTCCAACTCTTTTCCTGCTACATTAGCCATCTGTAAGAGCCATTTCAGCCCTGTCTGTTTTGCTCAAATGTTTAGGTTATTGACACAGGTTTAACAAGTTCTAAAACTATTTTATAGGTTGTTTGTCATTTTTGTAGTTGTTTTTCAAATGGATTTTAGTGTGGGAGACAAAATAAAACTTGGATTTTCGTTAAGTGAACTTTTGAAAGAACATCCATAACAGTCATCGGTTTGCAACTTATATATATCAATATTCCAATTACTTGTATATAGACTATTCTCCACTATTTCTATTATATTCTATTTTATTTACTTGCACTATTATCTGTTTTATTGTGTTGCACTGTTGGAAGAGCCTGTGACCTAAGATTTTCATTGTCAAAACTACACTGTAGCTATGTACAAAGGACAATACAAGCCTTGAATCTTGATGTGGCCACTACACTATATCTTATACAGAGTGATGCACAAAAAGCAAATTTAAATATAAATGTATATCTTAATTTGTATATATTTCTGTGAAGCCCAAACCTGTTATAATATAAAATGGGGCGAAATGAATTCTTGTTTAGAATACATAATCAATAGGGCAATCTGACTCTGAATGAGAAAATAAATCTGACAAATATTCCATAAAAGTAATTTTTAATAGAACATTTTTCTCAAATGTCACACAAACAAATAATAGGGGAACATATAGACAGTCACAAAAACGTATCACAAAGAAATGTGAAAATCACAAGTATGCAGCACACTCTTTGGATAACAAGACACCTCAACAGTTCATCCAGTGTTTGGCAGAGTTCCATGTGACATACACATGCATTGTTTACCGGATTAGCTCAGTCCAGAAATAATTAAAACATCTGCCCATATGGTTATTTATTTTGCAAAAAGAAGCTTGTACATTGCTTTAGGCAGTGATTATGTTTTCATTTCTTTGGGTGTGTGCGTTTATAAGAATATGTATATATATTAAATGCATATGCAATGTGTTAATTCAGTGTGGTACAAACATTAAAGTGCATTAAATAACCTGGAATCCAGACCACAGGGGTTTCAAACATTGGGGCAGTTGTTACTGTTGGAAAATGTTGGTTCCATTAATGAAGCAACACTGTCCAATGGTGAATCAGCAGGGGGACATTCAACAGTAGAAATGGAGGAAAAGCTCAAACATGGTTCTGTTCATCGGCTGGAGCTTTCAACTACAAGGTACGGTAACCATTGCCTTTTATTTCTGGAGCGGTCTCACCGATGTCTTTAGGGTAATGTATTATCGAGCCAAGAACACCTGCAAGAAAAACAAAAAGCACAGAAAAAAAGACATAAACATAATAAGCTCAGCACTCTCACTCGCTGTTTTCAATTATTAGACGTCATTCCTAGAACAATTCTTATCAGCATTCACTATGTTTTATTTCTGACGCTAGGATGGTCCCTGTCTGACCTGACAACTTCAGTCATATTATGTATGAAATTCAGTAATAAAATGTATTCAGTAATAAAAGTGAAGTCATGGTGAATCAGGAGGACAAAAAAAACAAACATTTCCATACAAATGGTATCTGGCTTTAAGTTGATTTAATATGTAACCCCTCCCTTCATCCCAAGACTGTTATCAGAAAAGTCTTCAGGAACTTAAGAGAAAACTGGAATGTTGTTTTCTTACCTCCAGGGTGCCTCAGACCTAAGCAGAGAGTGTGAGAAAGACAAAGCACATGACTATGCTTTATATTCCCCTGTGAGCATGAGACTCCATACCCAAATCATGTGACAACAATACAGCCATGATATGGAGCATTTTATGATGGTGAATTAAAAAAAAAAATGAAGTAGCTGCCACTGTCTGCTAACAACATGCAGCACAACACTTCAAACTAGCTTATTGCTGATTTGGAAGGCTGCTTTTGAGCAAACATCTGTGATGAATGGCACGGTAACTTTTGTAAGAATTATTTAAAATGTAAGACTCTTATTTACTCACCTTGTTTTTTAGAGAGGAGGATAGTGATCATGATTAGACCTATAAACACCAGGACTGCCAAGATTGGAACGAGGAACTGAGGCAAAGGTATCCCTGGAACTGGAAAAAGAAAAGAAAATAGATCTGTAAAAATGGTCACGGTAAAAATGTGTGGGAAATTGTATGTAGAGATGAACTGTTGCAATCGTAGTGACAAACTATTGTTTTGTTTTCAATTAATTAATAACCTTTCTTTTTTTCCATCGTGTCATATGACTTACAGTTAAACACCATCAGCTGCCTCCACCAGTTAGGCATTAAGGCTTTTTCTCTCCTGATTTTCAAAGCTACTAGACAAGTACATGTTGGTCTCACTACAGGTATTGTACATTTGTTCACAGCAGTGAATGAAAATGTAGAATGGGTGCTGGCTGCATTACATTACAAAAAAGGTTGTCCTGATTATTCATGATACAGGCCTCTTATTGTCACAACTATGTATATTAATGCTACCATTTTCATACATACCTTTATAGTTAAAATTACTGCAGTAATACATCTAATAATTTGGGTTTTCTCAAATTCGTTTTAAAAATGTTTAACAGTGCAGCCCAAGAGCCTGTTTCCAGATATATCTAAAGACCAGATGGTAACAAAGAAACTAGGAGCATGTGGTCAATGGCAACTTTAAAATACCAGGTAGATCTAAATTTGAACAACCAGCTTTCTTCATAAAGGACCTTCAACTCTGGAACGCATTTCCAACAGAAATAAAAGTAATTCCACAAATAAAATCCTTAAGAATAATTGTCTAAAAGCATTTTCAATTTTCCTGTAAATTGCACGGTGTAATAGTGTATGTGCATATTTATTGTATTTCAATATTTGGAATGTATTGGGTTTTTTTTATACTGAAAGCTGTTTATCTTTAACTCATCTTGACATAAGAAAGCAAAAATTGGGACAAGAGTTGACAATTAGTCACAGCTAAAACTCTCTCTGTAGCATATCAGTGTCATGCTCTGTATTGTAACTATGTTAAATTGCATTGATCCTAACTTTTAAATTAAGTTCTTAATCAAATACAAACATTTTAAAAGCATACTTATTTGTTATTGGGTTGATGTTAGTTTCACATTTTTCCAAAAGCTAAAAAGAATATATACCAGACTGCTCCTGAGAAAGCATCAGTTCTTTCATCAGCTTGACGCATTCCTCCTGCAGGCGGGGACTCTCAATTTTTGTGCGCTGCTCTTCCTTCTCCCACAACACTTTGAAGGCCAGTGCTTCCGGTACGTGTGCTGTCCACGTGTCAGTGTGGTCCAGAGTCAGATACACCTTCCCATCGTAGAAGACACGGTCAGCCCAGAGCAGCTGAGACCCCTCCAGTATGCATTCTCGAGAACGGAGAACAGTGTGGTTACCTAAAGAGGAAGAAGGCTGTTGACAAATGTTTGACTGACCATCCCTGTCCAAAATTGTACATGTTGATTTTCTTACTCAGGATGGAAGTCTGGTTCACATTGATAAGAGTTGGGAATGAATCAACTGACATGGTTTGAATAATGCTGTCAACTTCCTGGCTTTTGTCTTTTAAAGAGACTCCATTGAGAAGGACTTGCTCTGCGACCTGCTGAGCCCCCACCACTCCCCACTGCTGGACCTGCACGATGACGGTGTCTAATGAGGGGAATATAAAATACATAGATTAACACTCAAACATTGAAAATAAGGAATAATCCAAACGTTACAGTAAACTCTGGTAAATCCCGGTAAGAAAGCTTTCATGTTAAGAAACAGATGATTACAAACAGGCTAAAATGTGAGCTAATGTGTGAAGAAAATATTCAAATGTATGATTTTTCATTTAGAATAAGTGCTGCGTAAATATTTAAGTTTGCATGGCATAAATAGATCATACCTGTGATACTTAAAGTAAAACGCTTCATTCTAATAAAGAGTCCTTTTCAAATTGTTAAAATGATCAATGTTTTTACAACAGGTCTTTGTAATTATGGTCTAAAGGGCACTAGATCCAACCACATTTAATGATTAAAGTTTTTAACTATTACAATGCATTGTTCAAGGTTAATCTGTAATGTATATAGTCTAATTGCATTTGTAAAAGTATAACAAGTAGTTTGCAATGTGACCAGTTTTATTAGGTATAGCCTACCTGGTCAATCTCACATTGCAGACCTACAATAAGTCTTACATTAAAATGCATTTGAATTGAAGTTATCATTATATTACTGAAATCTCATGTTTTTGTTAACACTGTCAGATAGTTACATTTAGCATTGCATGATGTTGTGAGGTGTTTTTAATGATCTGTTCCTCTAGGTTTGTAAATAGATCTGGGTGATACACCTAACTTTCTATTTGACATAGTCCAATACGAAACCACAACTAATGTGACCTCATAAATAACCATAAGGGGGAACTAACACTGTGTCAACAAAGACTGAGCTAAAGACAGGATTTATTGCAGGGCTCGTATTGACATTGTATAGATTAATATGACAGTCTAAGTCAGCTGTACAATAACATTTTGTCCTGTGACAAGTAGAGGAGTAAGTGTTCTCACTTTACTGATTAATCTTTCCAAATATAATGCATGAGCAGCAACAAATAGTGACGTTAGCTGCTTGCAAAGGCTAATTAAATGCATAAACAAGTTTTAACAATCGTGTGAAGTCTTAACCAGGAGTAAAGCAATGCAAAGGGACACGCTTCTTACCTACTGGAACAGGAAAACACAGTGATAACTCGCATGTAGTTAGCACAAGAAGACCAAGGAAATGGCCAAGAAACTGCATTTCTAACGCGAATTGTTGTCCCGTTATTTTTAACCCGTAAAGGAAGGATAAAAGTCTCCCGAGTTATAAATAGCACGGATTGTTTTAAGCCATTTAAGCGAAACCAGGGAATAGAAAACAGCCAAAACGAAATACTTCAGACGGTCACGGACATCAACACCAATCTGCTCCACTCCACTGTTTCGTTTTGACAGACTTTTCTTTAAATGGACCACCTTCTCTCCTCTGATTGGTTAATGCAGCTACTGCGTAAATGGGAGGTGCTCTCTCGCAGATTCAGTTTAACAGGTTTGCCGTTTGTGCCTTAGAAAGTGAGTTTAAGATAACAAATAACCTCCTGAAGGTAAAGGTGACCATCCAAGCCAACACAAACACTGAGAAGCAGTAGAAGTTAGTTAAACGATGGATTTATAAAGAGAGAATTTCAACCAACCCTGAAAGGGTAACTATGGCAACATGCGCGGCAGTAGCTCAACTGTATGTACCATCGCGATATGTACTTGGCTTTGTAACCGGAGGGTCGCAGGTTCGAGTCCCAAAGAGGCCAAAATTGACAGCTGGAGAGCCCAATTGCTCCCTGGCACCTATGCCTGTTTTCTAATGCATGTGTGTATTTGCACGCTTCCTAAAAATATGTGTGGAAAACGGAATCTCCCCAAGGAATTAATAAAGGTTCATCTTAATCTTGCAGTGGCTGACTCCCTCGCTTCTCCCTCCCCAACCATCTGTGGCGCAAACCAACAGACCAATGTTGTAGGCTAATCTTCTGGAATATAATGGCAACAAGAAACCCTTCGCCACAGATAAGGACAAAGTCCTTAATTCAACATCTTATTTAAAGTATAAAACATGATCGTTTTAAAATACTTTTACTCTATAGTTATACATCTACAATGTGCATTGTAGCCTACTGATGCCAGTAATAAGACAATTTGTACCCTTTTTCTTGAGTTCGATAGAGCACGATTTTTGTGGCCAACATCTGATTCAATGTTATTGTTGTACTAATAAAGAACTTGATCAAATACACTTAGGCAAACTGACAGTAATACAGTTTTGAGCATTTTCCTTTTTTTACTTATTGAATAACTCATTATAAGTGAAATATTGCTTGATTTTTCTCTATAAAATGTGTCTTAAAGCTATAGTTAATTTGCCTGCACTTTATTCATAAAATGCTTACACATTAAAGCTTCAGGGAATAATTACATATTATAACACATACTAAATGACCACAGCAATTTTCATTAAGATCACAATATTTCTTTTTTTGAATGTAGGACCATTAGTAGAGCTGATCAATGTGGCCATGCTTGAGGATTTCCTTTGCTCAATGTTGGCAATAGTGAAGAACTCAAACATCTCTGGACACGGTAAACTCAGGGTTAAAAAACTAAGAGTTTCTGGTAAACATACTTGAAAGGTCCCTCCACTCTGTATCGGACAGACTGCAGTGTTTAGGCAGTATGGCATGTCTTAAACTCTATGATATTCAATTGTTAATTTACTGACTTTACCTGTTTGTACATCATCATTATACATGCAGAGTGCAGACTTCTGCTTTGTCAATGATTCTGTGACATGCAGCTTCCAAAAGACTGTTTTCTAGTAAAGCGTGATCCTGCATGTTGTCAGTTATTGTCCATTTTACAAAGTAAATCATTAAAACGTATTATTTTTCTGCTTATACACTTTGTTTAATGTTTTCTTCATCTCAGTCTCCCAGTTTAATATTGTATTTGGACAGTTTTTTTATTATGGGTTCCTTTTTCAATCGTATAGCCTCGGATAAAAAGGTTTGTTATCAGAAACAAATGACGTAGGAGCAATACTAATGATTAGATGTGTAGAGCTACAGCATCTTCTGTACATTATCTTATGATGGTATGTAATATATACAGGATAATTAGGTGTGCTGCCTCAATATCTTGCAGGCAGATTCCTAAAATGGAAGGTCTACAAGGGATATGGAAGTGATTAAACAGTCTGCTGTGAAAGTGCAGGGGAATTCACAGAGAGAGGATTTATGAGTCTATGCTTTATGTAACCCAATATGGCCGGCCTTGCAGTGATGTATTATTTATCATACAAGCTTGTGATCCTGCTCACTTTAATTAATGTTTTTCTTAAATTAAAATATGAAAATAGGTGTACACTACAAACCAATCCGTGTATCTCCGTCCAATTGTTTTTCTTTATTAAACACGTAAACGTAAGAGCGTCTGAGAGGCGTTTTTTGCTTTTTACCTTACTAAATAGAGTGGCGAAGTCACGCCCATCTACTTCCGGTCCATGGGACCTTATTTCGGAAAAATTATGAATTTTGACTTGCAAAATTATCTTTTAAATTGACAAACATCATATGTGTAATTCGTGGCACAAAGAGAGAACAATTCAATATTTAAATGATAACATGTTAACATTTTTTGGGTATCCTTTTGTTGAACTGTCTGTTAATCGAAGCATCAGACAAAAAAAGCTTTTGAAAATAATATGATATTTTGATTTAGGTCAAAATATAATATTTGTAAACCTGAAGAGTCAGTAGGCTTGTTTGAGACGCGTTGCGGCTCGCCTCGAAAGTAGACGAGAGTAGCCGATCGCAGCCGGGGGAGGTCTCAAAAAGCTCGCCTGAAGTCGGACAGCTCCGAGTCGGCTTCTTCTTCTTCATCTTCTTCTTCGCCTTCTTCTTCTCTCGGTTATTTGGCGGATTGCAAACAACTTTAAGGTGCATACCGCCATAGATATATATAAACACTAGATCAGGGTTGCCAACTTTGGGTACCTGGCTGGAGTGAGATTTTGATATCATGGGTTTAATTACATATGCGCACGAAATGACTGCTATCGTGTCAGCAGCAGCAGGACCTTAGCATAGCCTATATATAGGATATATATACAATATATACAAATACACAATATTGGACACAGACTATAAAAGGCACAAAGTTTCATTCACTAATGAAAGTCAAACACATGTTTGTTTCCACTGTTTTATTGTGTGCCTGTCGCGATAAGCAATGAATTGACGTATCGTACGATAAATAAAAATGAACTCGATAAATTGCCATTTACATGAGGATGTGACTAGCAGTTTGAAAGGATGTACTTGAATTATTATTATATATTATCATTATGTCAGTGGTCTAAAATGTATCCAACAAAATTAATTATCGTGAGAGCTATACATGAAACACACACACACAAACAAATCTACAGACTTACACCAAACTGCCAAATATATTAATTAACACACTCTCACTCTCATATACTCTTTGACTCTATTTTGGCCTAGTAGAACAATAAGCAGCAGACTTTTACTTTTTTATCATTTCTACTGGTTCTTAGATCTGAGCATGCGCAATACGGGTCTGCAGTTGCGAGAGAGTATTTTTGTTGGGTAATCTATGGTAGGGCTAACGGTACCCATACAGTGGTGGGGCTCATGTCAGTATTTGCAATGTAATTACATACACGCTCCCCTTGACAGTGAAACGCCACGCGTGAGGTTTAGATTATTTCCCTGTCTCAATCCAAATTGAACTGTATGAAATAAAAAGGTACATTTGTCTTGTAGTAAATAAAAAGGGCGACCTGGAGCCAATCCTGCAATCTCTCCACAGGTGAAAGAGTTGACATGCTGAAAACCCAACCCCTGCAGGGTGGTCTGGGAGGATTCTCCCCCAGGAGATTTTTTTTGTTTTAGTTTTGAAATAGGTTACTAACATAAAATACACATTCTGGTAGCCTACTCTCTTGAGAAGAAAAATAAATAAATACACGACATATTTAAAAAAGTAATGCCATTTTAGTTTTTTGTTACTTTGTTCTGAAAGCTGAACCTGCTGCTCCTCACAGAGAGAAGAGGGAAGAGGCTGTGTGAATTACTTTACATTGTGGATAAGGGTGGATAGGCCCCATTGTTCTTTGTGTAAAAATGAAAGACAGCCCACACACCTATCCAGGGACGTGCACAGACATTTGGAGGGGCATTGCTCTAAACTGGAAAAAGGGTCTCCCCCCGAAAATAAAAAACATAAGACCTTTTTTTAATGTAAAAGAAACCAAATGATTATTACATCAACTAAATTGAACAGTAATTCACATCTCATAACAAAATAAGCTAAGGCGACTACTTGCATTCGGTGACTTAATTTCAAAAATGAAAATCAGGGACATTTTTTGTTTTGCGGTCCATATCTCATTAAAATATCTAATGTTAGTAACTATTAAAGACAAAATGGGGACAATTCTGTTCTAATGTAGTTTGACCATTGTAACTGCTGTGCAGTCCAGACATACTGATAAAATAGGGCCTCTAACCAGGGGTTAAATTGGGCCGGGGCTGTCCAGGGCTGTCCGGGGCTCAGCCCCGGCACATAGGACGATGCTCTGACGTCATCGCCCTCGCTCATTTGTCATTTGTTTAAGCCATAATGTCAAAACATCTCTCGTTCTTAATATAGACTTTATTTAGGGTCGATATGTGTTGACTTTAAAATTTAAAATAGCAGATCTCTGTGACAGGATATCGTTTTTCCGCTTAGTGAACGTGTGTCTCTGCTCCGATCAGGAGCTGCAGCACCGTGGCTCCTTCGTGCCGAGAGTCTGCAGCGGTGTGTGTGTGTGTGCAGAGAGTCTGCAGTGGTACCGCCAAACCCCCGACCCGTCTTGTAACACGGAGCCCGTTTCCTACACCATCAGGGCCGGTTCTAACCAATTTGTTGCCCTAGGCGAGATTTTAGCTGGCGCCCCCCCCTGCCAGAAAATCGTTCAGTAGAACAAATAAAAGTATCCAAGGAATACACAATAGAATATATAAAAAATAAATGAAAAATCTCTACAAAAGACCAATGCACTACAAAAACAGAAACGTATTGACATAAGTCATATACATCAAAGGCTTCAAATGTATTCAGTATTATATGAACATGTTTGAATTGGGGTGAGGACATCACATCCTCTAGGGGGGTCCGGGGGTATGCCCCCCCGGGAAGAAATGTTTGAACATTTAAAGTAAAATTCTTCAATCTGGTGCACTTAGAGCACACATTACTAGAGACCTGATCTAGGGGGTACAACTCTAACGGCCCGTCCACACAGCGGCGTGCGTTGAAGCTTGCCGGCGGGCGTGTCTGAAACTCGACCAACAACCAATCACATGAATCTCCCGCCCCTGACATACAAGCAGCGGTTTGATTGGCTAGAGCTTGTACTGGCATATGATTCGATTGGCTGACGCTTCTGCCGTGGCTTCAAAACTTGAACATTGCTCAACTTTTGCAGCGAGCCACGCCAACAAAGTGACGTCACCCCATTCAAAGTGAATGGTGATGCTTTCAACGCATGCTGCTGTGTGGACGGGCCGTAAAACACCCATATGAAAAAGATTGGTTTACATTTTAATAATCAAATAAGTATGTGAACATAACCAATAGCAAATAAATGCAACTTATTTTATTTTTGTTGTTCATTCATATCTTATTTTACCTAGTTAACATTTATTTATGCATATTTTTGTATCTCTCAAGTTTTAAACAATATTTTTGGTTTACTGTCCTATAGTATACATTGAAATGATTTCAAACCTGTTTACCCCAATAATTATAAAAGAGTGCCTTGGAAATATGTGTTTACATAAATTGCATTTATCTCTCTCGCTCGATCCCACACCCACTTTGGCTGTGAGCTGCGGACGCCTGATAAGCCAACACCCCCCACTTTCATCAATTACAGCGCCCATCGTACAGGGCAAATGAAAAGTGTAACCCGGGGTGAAAAGGGTGTTACCTTGACTTAATTATGAATGCTGTTACATCAAGGCCGAAAATTAGGATGAGCGCAAACAGTCAAAATGTTTTTTTCCCTCCCAAAGCTGCCAGCGCAGCGCCCCCCCCCCAGATCTGGCGCCCTAGGCGACCAACTATGTCGCCTATGCCAAAAACCGGCCCTGACTTAACCCAACAACTTATTTAATTTGTTTTCACAATTACTAATGTCATGTTTTTTTTTATTCTTGAAGAAAATGTCTTTTTTTCTGGCATTCTTCCAGGATTAACAAAAATAAGAATAACATTGCGAACTATCTTTGAAGTAAATGGCTGTTGTTAAACGCTTCCCACATTTACTTCAATCATACAATAGAAAAGCTAAAAGTACCCAAGGAATACACAATAGAATATATAAAGAATAAATGAAAAATCTCTACAAAAGACCAATATACTACAAAAACAGAAACGTATTGACATGTTGGTAATATACATCAAAAAGGCTTCAAATGTATTCGGTATTGTATGAACATGTTTGAATTGGGGTGTGGACGTCACATCCTCTAGGGGGGACCGGGGGTATGCCCCCCCGGGAAGAAATGTTTGAACATTTAAAGTAAAATGCTTCAATCGGGTGCACTTTGAGCACACATTGAGACCTGACCTAGGGGTACAACTCTAAACACCCATATGAAAAAGATTGGTTTACATTTTAATAATCAAATAAGTATGTGAACATAACCAATAACCTACCATAGCCAATAGCAAATAAATGCAACTTATTTTATTTTTGTTGTTCATTCATATCTTATTTTACCTAGTTAATGTTTATTTATGCATATTTTTGTATCTCTCAAGTTTTAAACGATATTTTTGGTTTTCTGTCCTATAGTATACATTGAAATGATTTCAAACCTGTTTACCCCAATAATTATAAAAGAGTGCCATGGAAATATTTGTTTACATAAATTGCATTTATCTCTCTCACTCGATCCCACACCCACTTTGGCTGTGAGCTGCGGACGCCTGATAAGCCAACACCCCCCACTTTCATCACTTAAAGCGTCCATTGTACAGGGCAAATGAAAAGTGTAACCGGGGTGAAAAGGGTGTTACCTTGACTTAATTATGAATGTTGTTACATCAAGGCCGAAAATTAGGATGAGCGCAAACAGTAAAAATGTTTTTTTCTCTCCCAGAGCTGCCAGCGCAGCGCCCCCCCCAGATCTGGCGCCCTAGGCGACCGCCTATGTCGCCTATGCCAAGAAGCGGCCCTGTACACCATGCTAAATATGTCTGCATAAAGCTGAGTTATGATCGGTCATAATAACACAGAATTTGGTGATGATTAAATAGTTTACAGTGAGATTTACTCCCATACTTTTGGCCATACTCATGCAGCCCTACAAATGAATTGAGATTTCCAGACAAATGTTCTTTAGCAAGTGTGCAGAGCAGTGTTGATTTAAAAAAGCAATTTGAAGGTTGGATATTTGTAAACCTTTTTTTGTGTATATATATTCATAATTTAAGATGTAAATGAATTCCAGTTTATTTGTAGTACTTTCTATTTTTATTTTTGACATTTGGTGGCATCAATGTCTGCATTTGATACAGATAATGGAGCAGTTGCTTTAGGGCCACAGTGTAGGCCTATATCCCTTAAGGTCAAACAATGAGATCCTCGATCATGTTGATTCGGCCACAACAGAAAAAAATAAAATAAACTCTCGCTCTCCAGAGGGGCAGGTCAGCCAAAAAGGCCAAACGGGCCGTTGCCCTGGCAACATTAGCCCGTACCTGTGCACGTCCCTGCTGCACCTATCAATCATCAAACCGTGGGGTCTTATTTCATTACGTGTTGATTTCTATCAACACGTAATGTTGTATCGATGTATATAGAGATGTAATACAGCAAAAGTATTCTCCGTCGGGACTTCCTGGAACAACACCACGCCGTTATCTTGATTCTGATTGGCCAGAAGACATTATCAAAGATGTTCTATTGAGAATACGATCACTACCTGACAAAAGTTTTCAAAACCGTTTCTAGTCTTCGGTATTCTTGTTTTTGGCGTGAGAATAGTTTGGGCAGCGTGAGAGCGTGAGATTGAGAGTGAAAGCGTGTGTCACACGCCAGATGCGTGAGAGTTGGCAACCCTGCACTAGATGACTCACCCGCGCTGCTGGCCAATGGAGACCGACGTTGCCACTTGGCCGCCATCTTGCTACAGGCAGTTCTCTCATTCATAACATTATGGTTTACTATTTAAATAACCATAGCTTGCTCAATTTTCAACCAATTTTCAAACGGTTTGGTTTTTTATAAACATCAAAGATGTAGTTATGATACTGTATACTTATAGTCATGGACTTTCTTATGAAAATAACATTAAGCAGATAAAGCAATAGCTATACACACACACAAGGTATTTCTATTAAATATTTGCCGATGTATATATTTCCATTTATTTTTATTATATTGTTAATATTTAAAATAAATTATAAAATTAAAATATATTTATATTTTATATATAAACATCGGTCTCATGTTACCACTCTGTAAGCCAAGAGTTGTTAATTTAGCAATGCCTTAGCTTTAAGAATAGGGACACAACTAATGACAATAGCATATGGTGGTATATTATTTAGATATTCACACCTTTATCAGAAGAACCAAACCAACATAAAATGAGCTCACAGACAGGCCAGTTCTGTCTCATTTATCACAATTATACGAATATATAAATAATAGTAATATGGAAATTAATAAGTTACTTTTTTAACAATTCAATGTTCACTTATCAATACTGTGAGCCTGATTTTTCTTACATTCTCCAACAGAAAACACAACTCAGCGTACTTTTAAGAAATTGATCTTAATAGGCTTTTCCCCTTATAAGGCAAAAATATGTTTTGAGGCTCTGGACAAAAATGGCTATTTTGATTGTAAAGGTTGCCAATCCCTGGGTGTAGTTTCAATGTTTGCACATGTTTATTCAAGTGTATGAGTGACAGAGCAAGTGAGATGGCCAGTGGTTCTCAAACCTTTTACACAGAGTACCACCTCAAATTATATTGGGCTCTCCTAGTAACACCATCATAGACCTTCCTGGGTACCACCGAGATAAAGGATTTAATATGACAAGCCATATGATGCTCTCATTTGTTAGTGACATTCCACATGCAAATAAAACAAGATAAGATGGTACTTTATTGATCCCAATTTGGGAAAACATTTTTAGTTATAGCAGCCTAAGGGACAAAGCATTTTACAAATAAGCAAGAAAAATAAAGAAAAGAAAGAAAGAGGAAAATATACATGTTGAGTTTGGCAGGATATTATATATATAATATACATAAATATAAGGCATATGGAATATTAATGTTAAATATTAAATAGATTATATATGTGTAAAATGTACAACGTGGTTATATTCAAGAGAAACTATGGAGCAGAGAGTTATCTTCCAGCCAGAGGTGATTTGTTGAGTTATGGCACTGCGGAGCTGCAGCAGTCTGTTGGAGAAGGAGCTCCGTTGACTGTCCAGCTGCAGGTGGAGAGGATGGGTGGGGTTATCCATGATGGACAACAGCCTGTTCAGTGTCCTCCTCTCCACCACAGCTTCAAAGGGGTCCAGCTTGATGCCGATGACAGACCCAGCTTTCCTGATCAGTTTATTGATTCTGCTGGTGTCACCGGCTCTGATGCTGCCCCCCCCAGCAGACCGGAGCAAAGAAGAGTGCACTGGCCACAACAGACCGGTAGAAGATCTCCAGCATCTTACTGCACACGTGGAAGTATCTCAGCTTCCTCAGAAAATAGAGTCTGCTCATCCCCTTCTTGTGCACAGCATCAGTGTTGATCCTCCAGTTCAGTCCGTTGTCTAAGTGCACTCCCAGGTATTTGTAGTCCTCCACAACAGCCACATCCTCTCCCAGAATGCACAGGGGTAGAAGAGACGTCCTCACCCTCCTGAAATCAATGACCATCTCTCTGGTCTTGGCCACATTCAGAATACTCACAACATTAGGCTGAGGTTCATCTTCCGCTCTTCTTTAAATGGTTGTGCTTCTTGTTGCTTCCGGCTAAAATAAACATAATTAAAAGACATTTTGAGTGTTTAAAATGTGCTGTAATACACAACACATTATTTATTCCTAAACTTGCAGAAAGAAAAACTAAAGTGTGACATTTAATCACATATTTATCAATCAATCTTATACACCTTGAATTCTTGTTGGCCAATGATACACATACCCTTTGAAGATGAGCTGGGAAATTGAATACTGTTGGCACAACACCATCTTTAAGCCGGACAGTCTGCCCCGTCCTGTCAAAGTCCTCACTCCTGAAGTACTCACTGCAGAGCAGCGTCCTGCCAGAGGAAACAAAACCGTCCCTTCTTAGGGCGAGTTCCCACTGCCTCCTCCTCTCTCCGCTTTTGGGAAACCTTAAAAACATGAGAAAGGTAGCCAGATATATAAATTATTGTCAACATTGTCCGCCCTTCTTTCCTTTAACATTAAGGGTAAGGACAAAAATACACACCGAAATTATCATATTTTTGGGGTAATTGTATGTATGTATGTAATGTATGTATGTATACTTTAAGAATAAGACAACCACACTAAGAGTAATAAAAAAGGTGTCCAAAAGAAACATTACATAATTGTGTAAAGAAATGGTAGCAACATATTCTAAAGAGGCTGGGTCAACATCAATCTTGCAATACTATTATCTCACATAGCCCCACTGATCCTGTGTAGCAGGACTTGTAATGTACATACATCCACTAAGTAATTAACGATTATCCTAATTATAGTCATAATATTGTCATATCTTACACGTGAAAGGTGATTCCACGGGTTCTTGTTTGCAGACTGCGGCGATTAGAGCAGCCGTAGGCTGCACAAAAGTCAGGCATAGTCAGGTACTTCTGTAAACACAAAGCCAGCAATTTCCTGTATCATAATGTATCTAAAAATGTAAGATGTTTTTAACAAGCCAAACCACTTGGAAGAAATCATGTGTAACTTAAGTTATGTTGAAAAGAAAGAGCAGTTCTGCCTCTCCCACTGGTGTAAAGTTGCTGGGTGAACTTCTTAATACTAGGTCTCACTCACAGCCTCTTGTTATTAGCCAGCTAATAAATACAACCACATACACAAAGAAAAGCTGCAATTTCAACATGTCCAAGCATCCTGTATCATAGCCATGCTAATAACGTTTATAATAAACAAAACCGTTTGTAAATCAGTCAAGATTTCAGCGATTTAAGAGTATTTGTGTGCAGATCACTCACCTTACAACAGCTACCATAGCGCGTACCAGAGTAACTGTTGACTGTAGCAAGATGGCGGCCGGTGAGCTACGCTGGAAAATCTCCCATGAGCCATCTAGTGTTTATATTAGGGCCGGGACTTTAACGCGTTAATTAAGATTAATTAATTACACAAAAATTAACGCGTTAAAAAAATTAACGCATTTTAATCGCACTTATTTTTGCACTGCGGAACGTTTCTCACTGGATGAGTTCCAGGCGTACCGATTATACTGGAGCACCAACTAACGTTCATGACATCAACAACAAACCACAGTGAATAACAGTGGGAAATGTTGTTTTAAAAAACGGACGGATGGAAGCGTCGATAAGAGCACGGTTGTGTGCAAATTATGCAAAAAGGAATTCGCATATCACCGCAGCACATCAAGCCTCAAGTATCACCTCAATGCAAAACATATAGCAGCTAGCGTGGAAGCTAGCGTGGACGTTAGCCTCTTTTATCGCGTTCACACCAAAAAGAGCCGGTACTAAAATTAGTTCATGAGAACCTTTTTACCCCCACGAAAGTCCCTGCTAGAGAGCAGAGCTGCTAGAGAGCAGGGACTTTCGTACGGCTCTCTTGTGAGAAAAGAGCTATATTTCTGATTGGCTGGGCGGATTGCAAACCACGCCCCGTAAAACTCCCAAAAAGTTTTGTGAAGCCGCCATTTTATTATCCTCGCATTAGCATTATTAGCATTAGCCCAGCGCAGAAACGCAGAGAGACTAACTTATGGCAACACAAAATAACACATGGGAGCGGTGGAGATGAGGAGGTGTCGGCGTTCTGGCGATTTACTCGGAAGGCTGCTGGGACTCCCAGCAGCTTCTACTGAAGCCAGTCCCCAACTCCGGGGACTTCCGGCCGGGGACTTTGGGCGGCAGTATACGCCGTGAAGTGGTTTGCGGCCTGTCAGTAAACCCAAAGCAGAAGAAGAAGTGACGTCAGCGGCTTCATTTGCCTAATCCTCCCCCAGGTTCAGAGAGTTCTCATGAACTAAGTTCTCATGAACCTTTGTGGGAAAAGTACTGCGGTGTGAATGCGCCTAATGGTATACTAAAATCCATGTAAAAAATTGCTTCTCACTGTTCTTAGGTCAAATATTTATATGTGATTAAAAATGCGATTAATTTCGATTAATTAATTACAAAGCATCTAATTAATTAGATTATTTTTTTTAATCGAGTCCCGGCCCTAGTTTATATATATCTATGCATACCGCCACCTCCGGAGTCGGCTTGACTCGGTTTGCATTTATAAAGAATGCACACATGTGTTTAATCGTTAATGTCAGATATGTACTAAGTAAATACATTTGTTCCTGCTCAAGATTAGATTAAACTTTATTGTTATTGCACATATTACAGGTACTGAGACAACGAAATGCAGTTTAGCTTCCAACCAGGAGTGCAACAAGCAGTGAAGTGAAAAGTAATGTACACAATAGACAGAATAAAATATAGAATGAATTGAATGATGAATAAACAGTGAGGGATATGAATACACTAGATATCAGCCTGTGAGCAGTATGAACAGTGTGTATGAATATGCTAAGATATATAAAGTATGAAAACGGTAAGCAGTGCAAGTATAGTATAAAATATATGGATATTAATTTCATGATGATAAACATTGTGGAACAATTATGAAAAATGTTAATGGTGGGGGCGACGTAAAACTGACACAAAACAACAACAAACGTTTGCCGAGCCAATTGGAGAGTTTCATCACCAGCACGTGGTAAAAACCACCAATGAGCGCTCAGCTCGAGATACCAGCGAGTCGTTTCCCATCAAGCATTTCGCTTCCGCAGCCCGTGGAGAGGAACTGCGCCGCCTCGCCGCGCCTCGCTCTCAAGGCTGCGGGCGTCTTTGTCCCGCGAGATTTCAACGTCTCATGTAGGCGGGCCTCCAGAGCAAGTCGGACAAAATGACTAACCATCATGCAACGCACTAGCAAGACGTTGATCGCAACTGCGCAGATCTGCGCAGGTCTCGCTTGTCTCAAACAAGCCTACTGCCAGTGCCTCACCAGCCATGAACCTTACTGCAGAAGCTTATATATAGACATCTACGTTTTTTGTGCCCCACCACTTTTGTACATATAAAAACGCCACTGCAAACAGCATCTCTGTAAACTATGTGTATTCACTGAATTTCACTCTCTGCCTTTAACGGCTCGTTGTAGCTCCAATAGCTTCAGCCCCCACCCTGAGTCCGGCGCACTTCCTGGGGGCTTGGTGGCAACCAGTGGCAACAGCGCCCCCTGGTGTCTGGTCGCAGAATGAGCCTTCTCCTGATTGGTTTACCGGTTGTCAGGAGTGTTTACAGGAAACATGGCTTCCCGGTCTGTTGGAGAGCTTCAAGAGATGGAAGGTGAGTACATTTATAAAAAATACAGCCGTATTATGGTCGTATAACCTGGATGAACATACATTCATTAAGACAAAGGTACCGGTTTTTATAGGAGCAAATTGGGAGATTTTTTGTTTATTGTTAATAAATACACCTCCATCATTGGCTGGCTAGCTAACATGCTAACAACAATCCTCGTTAGCTGACGTTGTTACCCACACTGTCCAGCTAGTCATTATCTAATTATAGTTTCATAGCTGCTTTGCCATGCCTTATGGTCCACTGAAACGGGATGTTATGTTTAACGCAGATTATCTGCCTAAACATGTTTACAATGTTGGCTGGTAAAACTGCCTACTGTGCTCCATCAGCTACCCAGCTAGCTAACCTGGTTAGCAGTGTTACCCCTGTGCGTTAACTTGAGTAAGCTAACTTCGACTTGTGAGTTAGTTTCTTAACTGGTAAGGTTGAAAATACAACTATGATCAAATTCACAGCAGTTGTTATTATCCAATGGTGTTAATACGTGATAAGTGTCCTCGTGGTCTGTCACGCATGTTTGCATTGCTACAGAGTCTTGATCTGGTTTAAAGGCATGTTCTTCTACAGTCAGAGAATGGCTTGATTTTTGCCTTTTTTTTTTACATAGCTTCCCCCGAGTCCTCAGTGGGCGAGCTGGGCCTTGTCTTGGCATTACATTACACGTGCGTCAGCTAAATGTGTCACTGATAAAAACAACTTTGCATCTGCATGGGGTAATCGAGCTATGTGTCTCCTTGTCTGCTGACCGCAGTGGACAGAAAGGGTGAGTCTGAAGAGTCTGGTGATGATGAGACCAAGAGGAAGAGTATCAATGGCAATGTGGACCCCAATCAGCCTGCAACCACAGGTAAAGCATCACACATCCAGCAAAGGAGACACAAGTCAGCTTTAAACTAATGCAATCAATTATGTGACGCAGAGTAATCATCAGTCTATCTGATGACAGCATTACATACCAATGTAAGTCTTCTCAAGCAGCCTTGTGTGACTATATCATGCTTGATGTAATGGTCACAGGGTTAGTAAAAAGTCTTGAAAGATTTGGAAAACACTTGATATCAACCGTTATATTTCCGAGGTTCTTGAATGCTTGAATTTGATATTTTAATTTCAACATAATCTAGTATTTGATTTATACAATCACCAATGTCAACAAAGAATATCTGAAAATATGTATTGTCTTCTGTGGATTTAAAGGAATTTGGAATACTTTGTTTCCCAAGTTGAATCTATAGTAACACTTTCTTTGTATTGAGTGTGGATTTTTGGTTTACAGTATGTGAAAGTGCTTGAATTTGACTCTTTAAAACCCTGTGGTCATAGGAGTTAATGTGCTTTATTCTTGCTCTCAATAAAGGTAAAGAAGAGTCTCCTGTTGACATGGACACCATAACCTTGGACCCAGAGGAAGAGGTTAGAAGAGGGTCTAGAAACAATGCTACTGTTTTTCTAGATTGTATTTGTAGAGTGAAAACACTACTATTACTACTTTTTACACAACAGTATGTCATGTCACCCTAATCTGTCTGCTTTCTTTCTAGGATGTTGATCTTGTTCATTGTCGTATTGGGAATATTGAAGGTTTGGAGGTCCTACAGAAGTGTAAAGTAAGTTACTTTAGTATTTATTGCCACTGTGTGAGTTGAAGTATTGGTAGCAGCATTGTATGCAGATCTGGAGTAATTCATTTAATGTTCCTTTCTATATAAACCAGACAGGATTTTGTTCTAACCACAGGTTTTTATTTCTTTTTTAATCATTTGAAGGATTTGTATTAAATAGTTATTTAATGTGTCTGTTAATGGCTTTCTTTCCTTCTATCTCTTTCTACAGACACTCTCCTTAAGACAGAATCTTATTAAAAAGATAGAAAACCTCGACAGTTTGAGGTCTCTGCGGGAACTAGATCTCTACGACAATCAGATCCGCAAACTGGAGAACCTGCAAAACCTTACAGAGATTGAGTAAGTCTGAAGTAAACTACGTCTATTTTTCATGCTAATAATAGAGATTTAATCCAGAATGGCAAATCATAATCTTTACACACATTTTTACCTAATGGACATTTCCTAAGTTGTGTTTTTGTGTATCTGACATTGAATAACACTCATCTCAGGTACATATTATTTCTAATGTTCATACTTCTTTGACTGTCCACAGTCAGCTTGACGTCTCCTTCAATATGTTGAGGAAGGTGGAGGGTTTGGAGCAGCTAACTCAGCTGAAGAAACTTTTTCTGCTTCACAACAAAATTGGCAGCATTGCCAACCTGGACCACCTCACAGGCCTGGACATGCTGGAGCTGGGCTCCAATCGCATCCGGGTAAGACTGTTGGGCAGTGACATGTAAAATCGATATTACTCACATAAAAACGCAAATTACTTACATCATTTTCAAATACTGATGTTGCATTTATTAGTGTCACTTTAATGGGGCAAAGTCTGCAAGCTAGTTCAGGCAGTTAACCCGAGCACATATGCTGCATTCATACCTAACGCCCCTTGCCACTCTACAACCAACCAAACAGAGTCTCCTTGATATGCCGCTCTATTTAACCTGCAAGATCTCTCTCTATGCATTGCTTGCTGCTGCTATTGCTGCAGCTACTTCCACGTCGCTGCTGCTTGCCTGCCCCACCACCACCCCAGCTTCCACCTGTAGGCTCGGGGGATAGTTATTTGATCATCACTCATCGTGCTATGTATATCTATGGAGTGATGATGCCCGAGCCTAGACGCCAAACTATATGCTGCTTCTAATAAACGTGTTAAAGAAACACGTGAGTTGTCTGACTGAAATGTGGTTGTGTTTCTCTTTCATTGTGTGTGTTTACAGATCTTAGAGAACCTGGATACACTTTCATCACTGCAGAGTTTGTTTCTTGGCACCAACAAAATAACTACCCTTCAGAATCTGGATGGTTTGCACAACCTGACAGTTTTAAGCATTCAGGTGATTCACAAATTATTTAAAAAGATGTGTCAGTCCTTTTTAAAAATACAATAATGGAGTATGTAAGTAACATTGATTAGTAATGTTGTGTACTTTTTTGTTCAGAGTAACCGGATTACTAAAATTGAGGGCCTACAGAATCTGCTCAACCTGAGAGAGCTCTATCTGAGCCACAATGGCATTGAGGTCATTGAGGGATTGGAAAATAATGTGAGACATCAACAGCCTATTTCTAAAGCACTCAATGCAAAATCAGTCCATCATGCAGTTCGCTAACTGTGCTGCAAAGTTTCCTATGTACGTTTAAACACTGTTTGTTTCCTCTCACAGAAAAAGCTTACAACCCTGGACATCGCTGCCAACCGAGTCAAGAAAATTGAAAACATCAACCATCTGACAGACCTGCAGGAGTTCTGGGTACGGATAGTGTGCATAGTTAAACTAGAATGTATTTTAACGGTCTTTATTTGTTATATTTTGTATTTATTCCCCACGAGCGTAGTTATAGTTTTAAAAGAAATATATTAACAAACACTTATCTCCGCTTGCAACTATGTAATAATGTGTTAAAGGTGTTACTAGGCAGTTTATAAAGTTATTGTCTCCACATCCTCCACACTGTATGTTGCAAGAGTGCTTAACATTTGTTTTTGATCTATCTTTGCAAGACAAAACTAATTATGTTATTGTCTTTCAATCCCTCCCAGATGAACGATAATCAGATCGATAACTGGTCAGATCTCGATGAGTTGAAGAATGCCAAGTCTCTGGAGACGGTCTACCTTGAGAGAAACCCTGTACAGAAGGACCCACAGTACCGGCGGAAGATCATGCTGGCGCTGCCCAGTGTCCGCCAGATCGACGCTACCTTCATCCGCTTCTAAACTGCAGTGTAATTCACCTGCTGATTCACAGTGTTTTCCCCTAACCCCCCTGCCTTCCCGTCCCACAAAACAAACTTCATTTTGAAACACGCTGGCCTCACAGAATCATATCGTTACTTCGTACAGAGACACACATTCCAGCATTCACCATCCCCCACGGCTCACGCAACATATTGTACATGTATGCATGTATGCACTCACTCACACCTTGATCTATGCTATTGTGTAAAAGCTTATTTATTTATTAAGCTGGATATGAACTGTGAAAAGGATTTTACCCTATGCCCATTTCATAATTTTTCCTCTTTTCATTTGACTTTTGTAGTTTTGCATGTGGGAGACAGTATGGAGACATTTTTCCCCAATCTTTCAGGGCCCATCAGGAAATAATATATCAGTTTTTGTATAGTTTCAGTTTTGTTTGATAAATCACATTTTTGAGGTTGCACTGCTATCATTTAAGAGGAAAGGGAGGCATTCTTACTGTTTGAGTAATTATGTTGAAAGTTAAGGTACACAGTAAATGAAAGAAGAACTAAACATTAAAGGGAAATTCAATAGTAAAATAAGATTTACACATTTTAATCCTCCGAATACTGCTTATCTTATCTTTTGGCTTTATTTAAGCTTCAAGCTTTTCTGAACAAGTAACTGAACGTTACAACCACAAAAATAACTAAAATGAAGAAACCTACAATGACACAATGCAGCCTTGTGTCTGTCTGCAACTGATGAATCATTTCAAAATAAACTGCTATCATTACAAATGAGGGGCAAATCTTGATGTCCAGCAACCTTGTCTATGCCTTGTCATTGTCCAGATATTTTACAGCCAATCATCTGATTAATAAGAGTGACCTCTGCATACAAAAACCTCATGAGAATGTAAAGATAAGGAAATGTGTCCATGATGATGGTTCTGTAATCAGTGGTACATCAGCCCCCAATTAATTGTTTTCTTCTTTTTTTTTACCTTGAATACATCACTGATTATAGCTTGGGTTCTCTCTAGAAATACATCGTTCATGAAATTATTTTGAGCTGACAAAAGTTAAAAAAAAAGTGAAGTTACTTACTAACAGCAGGGATGGTCTTAAATAAGGGTTAACCAATGTAAGATACATTCTTTTTTTTATTAATATTTTATTTAAGATGTGTATAGACATTACAGTGACACATTCAAGTTTCACCTTTGGTCTCTTTTAATAAAAAATAGATAATCTTGTATATTTATGTTGCCAAAAGACTAATCAAGATGAAAACTTTGAACAAAAACATAAACCTATTTTGTCTCCAGTGTTTAAAAGCAGAGTGCACTAGATTTACTGTTGGGTTACAATCAAAGATATAAAAATGGTTTTCCACCTCGGGACTAAAAGGTCAGTCAGACACACAATTCTTAACGAAAAAAAATTCTGTGTAACATCAGCTACTGACCATAACCACAACAGGGTTATTATTGCATCTCCTTCTCTTTTAAAGGAATTGAAGATAAGAACCAAAATCAATTTAATCAACTTTAGGATATTTATGATATCTTATAAACTTCTATACTAAACTGAAGGCCATTACTAATATGAATGTTATATTATATTCAGATTAATTATAATTTATTCACAATTGGCCAGTTGGATTGTGAATGTCACTGTCTGTTTGTAAATATAGTTCGCCCACACGTGTAGAAATTCAGTGCCATCATAACTTTCCTTTTGTAAAGCAAAATGCTCTTTTTCTTTCTTGTTTTTGCCAGACAGCACAGCAGGTTTGCTTGAGTTTAAGTAATTAAGATACCTTGACTGGTCTCTGAATGACCAATTATTCGATTTGCTTTTAGCTAATTGTAGTCAGAACTGAGACTTCGGGTTCTGGACTTGGTTAACGCTGTTTTCAAAATGAATGTATTATGCAAATAATAAAATGACACTACTTAAAATGATATGCTGTTTTGATTTGGGAGGCTTTTTATTTTCTTTTTATCTTTAAAGACCTTCTAGCATGTTGTAGTAATTGTATTAACAACAAAGGAGTACAAACGTGATTTCAAAATTATTGAAAGTCTTCTTGGCCTTTTTGTTCTATGCATCTTCAATTAAGGTGCCAGACCAGCACATTTAGATTTATGGATTTGAAATTAGTAGTGAAAAGTTACTTAGTAGGTATACAATATGAGGTATTTTTTACTCTACTTGAATATTTATACTCATATCTTAGTCGTATCTCAGTTATGCATTTAGTCCATTATACTTTTTTTAACAAAAATGTAACTTTTTGCTTCACTACATTTATTCTTTGAAACTTTGGTTACTTTGAAGATTTAGATAAGCACTTTATAAAATAAATAAACGAATACGTTATGATTGTTAGGCTGGTTATGATATCCAACAATTATATACGTAATTGTAAAAGTGATGTACAAATTAATCTATTAATAATTATAATTCCTATTCAAAGATTACTCTGGAATCGGGCATTTTGCATGATGAGTACTTTTTAATTTGTTTTAGTAAACTGAATGATGAAAGCCCTCATCTTTCCCTCTAAAACTATTCTTATCAATTTGGACTCTCATGGGTATTAAAGCCTGTCTCAATGGCCTCAATGTTTTTTTGTAATTCCAACGATATCTTGAAACCTTGAGCGAACATCTAGTGCCGTATGAATATAAAATCATATATTATCAGAAAATGTAGGTAATATAATCACATTTCTTAATAAATAATTTAGCAAATGTTCTATAGTAACACGTTTGACTGATTATGTGCAAACAAATCCAACCCTAACTAACTACATAACCCACAATGCAGCACAATCCTATAGTGACGTACCGGCCTCGCGCCGCGCCAGGCAGGGGGAAAGGACGGCGTTGCGCATGCGCCACATTTATGTTGTTGTTTGTGGCGGTAAGATGGCGGCGCTCGGAAACACCTCAGCTCCGGGGGTGAATGGGTTAATACAACAATTCACAGCAATAACAGGTAAAAATAACATTTTATTTTACGTTTGATCCATCAAGAAGGTTTTGGTTATCTAACAGGAACAGCCCCTTTGCCCAAAGAACCAGGAAATGAGTGCGGAGAGAAGAAAACGGCCGTTAAGTGTTGCCATGGCCCCTGCGCTGTCAATGCTGTGCAGAGAGGAAAAAGCACAGCCAGTTACCTGCTAAACTCAAGCGAAACACGCAGAAAAGGAAGCATAAAACCACCCGATTTTAATAATATCTCCCATGGTCACTTACAAGATATCTTTTTTTCTTTGTGGTGTTTTTTACAGACACTATTTCGCTAGCATAGAGCTGATTTTCTGTTCTTCTTTACTGCATGTTGTGTGATAATGTGGAATGGACGTCGCCTGTGCAACATTTCCCTTCTTCATCACCAGCCAGGCTTCACGTTGTGTTACTCTTCAGCTCACTGTGATGCGAACCACACTCGTATAAGCTCATATGTCCATATGCGGTTACTCGTTCACATTTCCTCAGTAGTTTATGTGTGCTTTGACTGGATGGACAGTGTTTTAGATTTAAGTTATTAATCGGGAAAGAGAGGGGACTCAGTTCGGGGGTTGGGTGCTGCTACACTTGGAAAGTGAAACGGACATGCGCAGTACACACGGAGAGATGAGTGCAGCCTAACGGTGCTGTTCACTTAAAAAAAGTCTAAAGTTACCCTCGGATCTAGTGTTTTCTCACATGCAAATACTTACATTGTTCTTTTCATTGTGTCGAATCATGATCTGGATACATTTAAGTACAATTCTGGTGTTTTTGTAGCCTATTGGTAGCCTACAATTCATGTAGCCCCACTTGAGCTATATCACTGCCTGCTATTTCCTAAAGATTACCATAGCTTTTGTTAAGACCGGATGCATATTTTTGCAACCTTTCAGGCCGTGGTTTGCCTTTCATTCATTGTGGTACAGTGTTTCGGTCAACTTGCAGATTTGTTGTTATGTCTTTATGAAGTTCTAATGTTGTTTAATTTCACAAGACCCCATAGTTGAAAAGCTTGAATTTGTATTTACACTGACAAAGGACGTAATGTTCACAAAATCGATAAAAACCACGATTTTCACATTAACAACGTGTTTAAAAAGCTGGCTCAGTTGTGTGCACGTTTGCAAGTGTCTTAATGAATGAATGCAAAAGAGTAGAGTAGGTTTATGTGATATAGTAAACTGGTTAAAACATGCATATATAATCATGGTACTTTAAATACCATGGTACTTTGAATCGATTACTATACAACTAACTGTTGTCTGTATCTAACGAATTTTGATCACAATTCCTTAATGCAAATGACTGAATCTGAAACAAATATCGTAGCTTATAGTAAAAACAAACATGGAATATAAATAATTGAATCCACGCACCCTCTTAAGGGCAAAACATTTTTTTTTAACTGTTCCAATTTGATAAAGTAAGCAGTATTTTATTGATGTGGTTTTGGAAACAAGCGACAACATGCCAACATCAATAAAGTCCATATAGATTATTTCAATATGAGATATTCTACTGATGATCTACAGTCTTCTGTCCTGTATAATTTGTTCCATGACTCACATTGAGAGTGTGAGTTTTCACACACATGTATCATTACAGTGTTAGTCATAATGTTTTTTTTTACATCAGTAACCCTATGTCCGACTCTGCTTTAGGAGCAACAGAGAGTGTAGGACAACACATGTTGGAAGCATGCAACAACAACCTGGAGATGGCAGTGACCATGTTTCTGGATGGAGGCGCCATTGCGGAGGAGCCCAGCACCAGCTCCAGCTCAGCGGCTTCAAGCAGCAGAGCCCCCCCTCCAGAGTAAGCTGGGATTCTTCTTCACACACTTGTTGGATAAAAGTAACACATTGTTTCTTGCCATTTTCGTAGTATCCCAAAGATACAGTCCATGGTTATATTCATAGCGCTTTATAAATTCTCTCCTTGTTGAAATATGTTGTTAACCGTGAGCTGGGAGGAGATTTTGGGTTTGGTACACTGCTGTGATTTGTGTTACGGTTGGGTGATATAACAAACTAAGACTTTGTTTATAACTTTATATATACCAAATGTTTTGCTTTAGATTTCTTTGTTCTTTAGAATAATACGGTTTATTTTCCCTTTTTGTTTCAGTGAAGTACGAGCACCTATTCCCCAGAAGCAGGACATATTAGTTGAACCTGAACCATTGTTTGGAGGTATTATACTTTATCTGACCTAATGCATACATATGTCAAACTACATAGTTGTTTCTGGCCAAATGTGACTTATGATTTGTCTGTAATATCTGCAGTGCCAAAGCGAAGAAGACCTGCTCGATCTATATTTGATGGTTTCCGAGACTTCCAAACAGAAACAAGTAAGTCATTTCAAGCTTTTAGCAAACTTAAAGAGTTGTAAGTGAATGTGGTAACATTGGATTCTTGCTGAAGTAACAACCAATAAGATAATATGTCACATTTTCTCTTTGTTCAAACTTTTATAATTGTCTTTACCTCCTCTAATGTATTTTTGTTCTTTCCCAGTTCGGCAGGAACAGGAGCTGCGTAACGGTGGCACAGTGGATAAGAAACTGAGCACCCTGGCAGACCTTTTCCGTCCTCCAATTGAGCTCATGCACAAAGGCAGCTTTGAGACGGTGAGGAGTCACTCACCTGGCATTTTAAATACGCTTCTTTATTCAGTTTGTGTGAACTTTCTTTGAAATATCAGATGTGCTCTGACTGTGCAGATCACAGGTGGGAAACCAGGTCTGCCGTGCGTGCAAGGGCAGCTGTATGCAGAATGTGTTTTTATTTGTATTCATGATATA